ACACATAGGGTGTCTCGGCCTTGGCTGAGACACTTGGAGTGTCTCAGCCTTGGCTGAGACACTCGCAATGTCTCCAGCAAGGCCTGGGCACCGTTTAGGCACGCCCCGATCAAAATCATTGTATCTTTGTCATCCGAACTCAGAATTACGCGATTCAAAGTGTGTAGAAAAGCCAACGAAGAGATCTACGAGCTCTCATGGTTGAATCATATATGAAGTAGGAAAGACATGAGGGGCACTTCATCTTTCATAGGTGAAGCGTAATTCCCGATCAGTTCGTATCTTCGTTATTCTGCAGCTCCGTTGCTTCATACGGTTTGTCGACTCACTTCATGCATTTGTCGACGTCCAATAAGCTTCTGTGCCTCAGATAATGACATTCATCATCTTCTCTCTATCTTGAGTCACGTGTGGGAATCCGTGGGTAATTTTTAACGCCTACACACCTCTGACAAAATCAACTTATCGACTCTCCCCAATAGAGCGATAGGTCCTCAAAATTGCCACAATCACAATATTTTTCCTATCACGTTAATATCACACCTCTGAAAAAATCAACTTATCGACTCTCCCCAATAAAGCGATAGGTCCTCAAAATTGCCCCGATCATAATATTCTTCTTGTCACGTTAATATCACACATCTCACAAAATCAACTTATCGACTCTCCCCAATAGAACAATGGGTCCTCAAAATTACCCCAATCATAATATTCTTCCTGTCACGTTAATATCACACATCTGACAAAATCAACTTATCGACTCTCCCCAATAGAGCAATAGGTACTCAAAATTACCCCGATCATAATATTCTTCCTGTCATATTAATATCACACCTCTGACAAAATTAACTTATCGACTCTTTTCAATAGAGCGGTAGATCCACAAATCTCTGTTATATTAACAATATACCTCTAATAGTTAAACCCCCTAATGAACTTATTAATCCTTTTTTAACAAGAATAACAAGTTCTCATTATAAAATCCCCAACGGGATAAACTTTTTTTAGAATTACCCTTAAGGATAATAAGGAAAATTTTACTCTATGTGAAAATTCATGCTAAGTTAATATTACACCTCTGGCATCTCTCGGGTAATTTTATTGTTTCAAGTCAGAACAGACACACAAAATAATAAAAAATCCATATCATTTTCTTTTATATAAACATAAAGCAAAAGGAAATGATACAAAACAGACTTGTTCTTATTAAAAGAATATTACAAAGTTAGGATTCACTCGCTCATCAATTCAAAAGAAGTGAGTTGAGCCTTCTTATTAAAAGAATATTACAAAGTTAGGATTCACTCGCTCATCAATTCAAAAGAAGTGAGTTGAGCCTTGACTTCAGATAGCTTCTCCTCGTAGGATTCACTCGCTCATCAATTCAAAAGAAGTGAGTTGAGCCTTGACTTCAGATAGCTTCTCCTCGTGATCAGCCCGCACTATGGCCTCAGCCTTCTCCCACAATTCATCTTCGGTGGGCACAACGGTGGCAGCTATCTCCTTCTTGGCTCGCTCAAGGGCCTGAGCCTCCTTGTGATAACTCAAAAGAGTGTCTGCATTCTTAATACTAAGGACATTAATAATGGCTTCTTCACGAGAGAGTTAAGCCTTCAATCGTAGCACTTCAGCTTTAGCTTCAATGAGCTTTGTACGAATGAAGCCCAAAGAGGCAGTTGAGAGCTCCAACTCCTCTTGCCTCTGGGCGCTCTGCTCCCGTAGATGTGCATCCTGACGCTCTCTCTCGACCAGACCCTACTCCATCACCTC